CTTGTTGATAGCCACAGCCGCACCTCGCATCTACACCCACACCCCACATCCACACACCCACACCCGCACCCGCACCCACCCTAAAGTGGCTGATATCCGATGGAATAGACTAGAAGTGCTCTCTAGCTCTATGTATCAACATGAGTCGATTTTTCTTCTACTTTCACAAAGTTGTGCACTAACATTTGGCCAGTTTCCCATCACTCAAATACACAGACCTGCGCTGAGAAGGAAGAGCAGAAAACGATGATATATATTATCGATAGTGTTTCGATAAAAAATGAGAAAAAAAAATGAAAAAAATGAAAGCCTTCACTCTTTTTATTATCTTCTACTTAGCAAGGTCTCCATTAGGTATGTAAGAAGCTCTAACATTCTTATCTTCTTATTAAATCCACGGTTTTTGTCGCTTATTAGCATCACACGAAGAAGACCATGTACAATTTGAAGATTATTCTGTGAATGTCGAAGTTCTACCAACCGACCTGAATTTCACACGAAGTATTCTTGCTGAAGGCGGTGTCAATGTTCATATGTATAGCTTCATCAAATACAAAAACCATTTAGTCTCTATCTATGAATCGATTTCAAATGAAGGTGATACGTCAGCATGTGGTGGTAGCTGTGTTCAAACACTGAAATTCTTCTATGTGCCACTGATGTTTCCAGTTCTAAGTCCTCAGCTAAATATGAAATGGATTAAGACAGCCGGAAAAGACAATAATGAAATACGTTTGAATTTAGCTGTTGGGAATGAAGAAGTAGAACAGCTCATTGAAAATGAAATTAAGAAAGACTCACAGAAACAAGGGCACAACATCAGGATTGCGCCATTGATCATCAACTCTATCACAGGCATTATTACCAGTGGCAGCGATGAACCAGTTGCAGGTGTACATCCAGCTAAGATTGTGAATCCATCACAGATTATCTTGACTTTCCGATTTCAATGTACATCTCAGGAACTGGCGGAAGAGGTGGTTGAAAGAATACTAGATGGAGACTACAATATTGAATTGGCTATTTATTTTGCGGGTCTACATTCTATTTCCATGAACATGGTTAAAATAACGAGTGACACTTTGAAGAAAGTTTTGAGCAGTACAACGGCCGATGGGGGTAATACAAAAGCTCAATTTATACATCGCAAACAAGCAAGTAATTTTGTGTCAGACTACACATCAAATGTTAAGAAAACAATCTACATTGAAAATCCAAAAGTAAATCTGACTGAATTAATAACGAGTTTGGAAGACGAGTTTAAAACACTGATACAACAAGGTGAGCAGAGATCTGAAAGATAAAGAAAGTGCTAATATGACTTTTTTATATCTTTCACTCTTTTAGCGATGGATAATGCACAAAAGACACAGTTAGATGCGAAATCTTTTGATCAAATTTGGTCATCATCTGACTTAAATCCAGATGTTATTCGTAACGATCTGAACAAGATCTTCACATATAATAAAACGGCTACTGACTATGCAAACTCGTCAGATCTCTTCTTCAATTATGACCAGAAAGAAGCTCAAGCATCTGATTCACGAGGAAAAATGCAAATAGGATGGAAAGGTTTTGGTGGAAGTGCTGAAGCAGCACATTCACAATCGTCGTCTAGTGAAAACTCACAAACCACTCATGATATTGTTTCGCAGAAGGATATCAGAGACTTTTTAGCTCAACAAAACATTGAAACCCAGTGGTCTGGAGAGAAATGGGAACCAAAATCGTTTAGTGTCTATAAACTTACTGATATCACAGATCAACTGCAAGTAGCATTGGTAGCTAAACAGTTAATTGCTGAAAAATCAAATGGTGCTGAAATCAAGATTGTGAACTTGATGAGTGTACCGACGCTGGATAAAATAGGTAATTAAACGAAAGGACCCTTTTCTTTTATCATTAAAGCAGCAGCGGTCGTGCTGTTTCCCTTTCTCCATGTAGCTGTAGAAATTGAGGCTAATTGGTGGCAAAGTTTTCTAACTATACGCTCAAAAGATATAACTCAATAATTTTTATTTTGATTTCGTCATTAAAAACTATTAATAATTATGTGTTTTCCAACTATTGTAACAGTCAGTAAAAGCTGCATCTCTTAGAGCGATCTCAAGCTCAAACTGCTCGTGCGAATTTCTTTTAGAAGTGGATACGACGACCACCTCTACCACTACATCAACAATGTCTCCGACGACAACTACTAGTGCAACACCAGCACCCACTACCATGACAACCACACTGCATCCTGTCTGGCCAGGTAAATCTGAGCTCGTGTATCGATGTACGCCTCAAATGAGTCGCACAAGCCAAGTAGAGAAAAATACGACCATACTTATAGCAAGGGACGGCGGACGTTTTACGGTGAAATGGGTTCCCTAGAAAACATAATCAGTTTCGGATGAAACTTTCAGCAAGTGTAGAGCGCATAGGTAGTAGTCACTTCTATAAGTTTCAGCTCGATTCGTCAATCTATTGTCTTACTTTGGTACTCGGCTAGATAGGCTCTTTGGTGACTATTAGCTGACCAGTAGGGAAAGAAAGAATGAGCCAGTTTCCAATGACTTTTTACATAGTTCGGTAGTCATTTGTATACCATTCGATAGAGAAATTAACTCTGAACAAAATTGTATAACTGATTTATAGTGAAAGATCAAAAATTAATTATCAACAGTTCAGAATACTCCCAGCCTAGGCTGATATATAGGCTATGCTGGAATATTGTTTACCTTCGTTCTTCACTATAACAAGCAGAATCAGAGCCATTTTTTCACTATCAGTAGCAATTTGCTAGAGCTACAAAATTAATAAAGCAGGACAATATAAAGAATGCTGCCTGCTATCTCTTATCAATGACATACCATCCACAATATAGGTTAGTATACCCTAGACGGAACTTTGTATACCATCGTTCTTCACTATCAGAAGCAGGACCGGAGCTAGGGGGAAACAGCTGAAATCAGATTTTTTAGATATAACTGATTAAACCGATTAAACTGATTCTTTTGAGATTTTTTTGACTTTTTTTTGACTTTTTTTGATTTAAATCAATTGATTTTGAATCAAAAAAATCAAAAAAGAGATCAGAAAAATTAAAAAAATCAAAGAAAATCAGAAAAATAAAAAAAAACCTGATTTCAGCTGCTTTCACTCTTGATTGATGTTTTTAAACAAAAGCAATTAAAAATGTTCTGATTTTTTTGATTTAAAATTGATTAAAATCAGCTGTTTTCCCCTTGAACCAGAGCCATTTTTCCACTGTCAGTAGCAATTATCTAGAGCTACAAAATTGATAATGCAAGGGTCTATAAAAAACCTGCTTCTATCTCTTGTCAATGACATATCACCCCCAATATGGGCTAGTATACCCTATAGGAAACCTTGTGTGCCATCATTCTTCACTATCAGAAGCAGAACCGAAGCCATTTTTTCACCATGAATAGCAATTAGCCAGAGCTATAAAATTAATACAGCAAGGCTATACACAAACCTGCCTTCTATCTCTTATCAATGACATACCATCCCCAATATGGGTTACTATACCCTATGGGAAACCTTGTGTGTCATCGTTCTTCACTATCAGAGACTGAATCGGAGCCATTTTTTTACCATCAATAGCAATTATCAAGAACTATGAAATCGCTAAGATGAAGGTCTGCATGAAATCTGTCTTTTGTCTGTTACCCCGAAGATATCACTCAAAATAGGCAAGACAATGTATGGTAGTCAATACTCGATATCTATAGTCTCTACCACTTTATCCGCAACTGGAGGAATTTGGTAGGTCATGAGTGCGTAAGCCAAATGAAGGTAGTAGCATTTATATTTTCCTCTATAATGAAAAAGCATCAGAAACTTGAAGATTGTCGACATCCTTCACCATCACTCTAATGGAGAAACAAAGTTATGAAATAATATTTCATGTTGTCGCTATATTTCATGTTAGATAGCAGCAATGTCTACATTATAATATATATATAGATCCAAGGAGGAAAAAGCTGATTTTTTTGATTTAAATCAGAAAGAAAATCAAAAAAATCGAAAAAATCAAAAACATCAGAAAAATCAAAGAAAAATGGTTCAAAATCAAGAGTTTTCAATCTCTGTTTTTCAAAATACTTATTATTTGACTACATAATACAACTACCTAAAAGAATTGAATCAGACGAGGTCTCTAGAGTCTCAAAAATCATAACCTAATTCGATTTGAATGAGAACTAACTTTGAACTTTGATTATTTTTGATAAGTTTATCGTACATTTTGTCACGTCGAAATTTAAGATGCCTTGGTCGCCTTCGGAACGAAGAAAATGTTTTTGTCGCCGTCCCATTAGAAATCCATAAAGTTCGATAGGGTTAAGTGTATCGATTTCCCTTTTAATGTTTTTTTGAGTTACTTAGATGATCAGAAAGATTTGAAGCAATTTGTGAAGTTGTTGAAAAACAGTTTTTTAGTTGGAAACTCATTTAAAGGCGTCTTGAATTGATCTACAAAAGGTCCATATGATGCAGAATGTTTCTCTCCATTAGGACCTACAAGAATATCTCAGACATCAAAGGCTTTTTCTTTCGATAAATGGCAAATATCGCCCCACTTGGGTTGTATTATATCTAAAAATCCGTTTTTCGATTATTATGAGATTAGGATTTTTTTTCGAATATTCTTCTTCTATGGCTACAATGTGGTCTGCGCTTTTTTGGTACTATTTTTTACCTTTAAATTCGATATTTAGTATAGAATTCTTGCCCTAACCAAGATATGCAATTGTTAAATTATAACTTTTTCGAATAATATTCGATGATTTTCAGGTAGAGATAATCCCATTTGATTTCAAAAGAGGGGTATTTCAAAGCAACGACCAAAACTCAATCGAAAAGTGTATTTAAATAGCTTGTGCGACTTTTGGTCCCGCTTGATGTTCACCCATGGACTCCTTCAATAAATAAAGAGAAATGGATTTTATAAAGGTCTTGTCAGAAAACAGAGTTTTGATGAAAAAGTTTTGTCGGATAAGTATATGGACATATTACCTGGAGTGTCGAATATGACAAATGATAAAAGAGAATTTCAATTCAGGAAAGTTTTCGGGAGTTTTATGAGTAACCTTTGAAACCTTTTGGACAAGTACTGATGTCTCTAGTAGTCAGTACATTTTTTTTCATCCATTTAGATCGTCGTAACCAAATCCTTTTATAAAGGTGATATAGATCTTGCACATCTTGAAGATATACTCTTGATATCCTCCGTAATTTAGCAGTGTTGATGCAAACATGAGTGCAATTAATGAGAAAATTCTAAACACCAGATGGCATATAGGAGCTCAGAATGCTAATTTAAAACATATTCTTTATTTAAATTAAATGGAGATAATTTATACCTGAAGATAGTCGGATAATAGTCGAAAAAGTATAAAGGTAGCAATCATATACCTTGATTTGAGCCAAAGTCCTTAATTAGATATTTAATTCTAAGTAGAAAATGACATCAATAAAGCTGTAGATTGAATGGTATACTTCGTAATATGGAGCTGACATAATCGTAGAAACTTTAACTTCATAATAATCCAAAAATACTTTATTAGACATAAGAGAATTCGACCGGGAGAGGGGGAATATTTGACATTTATCGATAGATAAAGCATCAAATGTTTAGGATATTGCAGTAAATTGTGATGGGAAAAAACATTCTACTTAAGGCCCCACTCAAAAATCGATCTCAGCTCCGGAACATCGAGATAGCATGAAACTTTGGGGATATGTTGGAGGCGTAAAAGTACGTCTATGGTAAAATTTTCAGCCTTCTATTCTGATGTATAAGGTAGATACGAACCAAAAAAGAGTCGAAAAATAGCTTATCGTAGCCCCAAAAAATCTCTATGGGTGTTCATTCAATATGGTTCATGGTTTTTTCATTTGAAAGAGCATGTCAGGATGCAGTGCCTATGAGGGCCCTTTTTTTAAAATTCTTATCTTTAATAAGAAAAAAGGGTTCACAAATTCAATCACTCAAAAATCCCTCAAAAAAATTATGCTTATATTATAAAATCGCTTTTCAATATAAGAATAGGAAAGCTTTATCAAAAAAAAGGGCCCTCATAGGCACTGCAGTTTTTGATGCTCTTTCAAACAAAAAAAATATTTGACTTTATATCGGATTATAATTGACTTTTGGTGGGGCTACGTAATTCGACCACCATTTTGAGAAAAAACGAAAAAGATTTTTGGGTTTTTCGAATAGGGGTCGTCAAAAATATTGAAAATTTTTCGGAAAAAAGGAGGTACCGAAGAAAATTTTTTATCGTTTATGAAAGAGTAAATGACAGGCTATCTCCCCATGTATTTATCTCAATCTTGACCATTCTGACAAAAACTAACTTTTTTGAGGGGGGCCCTTAATCCGAACGTATTGTCAACAAATCTAGTTCTGCTTTTAATAATCTATGTAGCAGAGATCCAAGCAGTCCAGTTTTCACAGACTTTGACTGCTCTAGGAGGCATTGCACGTAAGCGACGACCAACGTTGCTCAGTCGATCTCACCGATTTGGCTGATATTTTTACAGTAGATAGCCCTAACAAAGTTAGGAAGAAACTGAAAATTTCAGCTCAAACGGATGAGCCATTTTGGAGATATAGACGATACAAGTATGAGAGGGTAGGCCCCATTTGGAGTACTTTATAGTGCAATACTTTCCAGTAAATCTCTATTTTCTTAAGAACAACAAGAGATATAACCGAGATTTTTTTACCATAAATACTATCGATGATGGGCTATATTTTTATGGTAATAGAAGTATCTCATCGCTGGATGATTTTTGCCTGGTATTATATACCGTTTCCGGAAAGCATATTCACGTATATATGGCAAGTTGGTCGGATCAGCGCCCTAGAATAAATCGAGAGTTATCCCATCTGAAAGAGCACATCAAACTGCATCGACTCGACTGACGTTTCCAAAAATTTGTGGAAATGAATTTCGGTAGCAAAAAGTTTTTGAACAAGACTAAAAAGGCCAAAGGACACCGCCGGATAAGTCAACAAATCTGGCGCCCCCTCAGACAGCGTTCTAATTAGTTTAAAAAGGAAGCCCGAAAATCTTTACATAGTTCTATGTATTTTTTCCCGTAATTTCTTTTTGCCAAATTGATTTCTGAAGAGGCACTCTGTCTGAGGGGTATTTTAATTTTATATGCATTTTTGCCATCATGATAAATTTACAATATTGACTGTTAGAATTCCTTATCGCTTGATTGTTTTCTTAAGTGTCATATATCAAAAGATGCAGCAAATTTTGCTCTACAACATGATTATAAATGATCTATATTTAATGCAGACAGAGGATGAAAATCAGATACATCAATTTATGACAGATATGTGAGTTTTAGTGATTTTTGAAAAAATATGGTTTCAGTGTAATGCACCGTTCTTCCTTATAATTCAAATGACAAGACTGAAACTTTCCCAGAAATTAGTTCTTGAAATTCTCTACAAAATGAGCTAATTTTGATTTGAATAAAAGTAGTCCAAATGGCTCAACCACTTACATACATTTTTGTCACTGCAGTATTTTGATATATTCAAAATATATTTTTATGAGAATTTTGTTGGAAAAAATGTTTGATAATTATATATTAACACTAAATACGCAATTAACTGATTAATTAAGTTTCAATTTGCAGAATTTAAAATAGATTTTATCCGTATCTGGACTTATATAATGTCTAATGAATCATCTGATCATATAAAGGACGGGAGCTCATGAGAAGTGAAATCGGCCTATTAGGACTTTTCCGGGGCTACCCTATTGAATCGTATATCATTCAAACGAACATGTTAAAATTAACACTTTGATATTATTTTCATGGGATTTCGATCGAACTTTTGATGCAAAAAGCTATTTACAAAGTTACTCATTTTTGGTCATTAATCTAATAATCGACCATATCCACGGTCGAGGGTGTGGGTGGGTGTGGGTGTCGGTGTGGGTGTGGGGTGTGGGTGTGGATGAAAAGAAGAACCACACCCACACCCACACTCACACCCACACCCACACCCCACACCTAGCACCCACACCCACACCCACACCCCACACCTAGCACCAACACCCACACTCACACCCGCGCCCCACACCTAGCACCCACACCCACACTCACTCCCAATAGTATAGCACTTGAGAACCAGAGTACCCTCACTTGGATAGTCATATGAGGACCCAAGTACCCCCAGCAGGGTAGCTAGACGATGACCCAAGAACTGGGCATGGTCGCTTCTTACCCATGGCACAAGCACTTTAACTTTAACTTTTTCTTTTAAAGGTAAAGTTTTTACGTGTTTCACTTTAATTAAAGTTTAAATTTTTGAAATGTTTTACTTTAAACTTTAATTAAAGTTTAAAGTTGTAAAATTTTGACTTTAATTAAAGTTTAAAGTTTTAGAGTGTTTTACTTTAGCTTTAAACTTTAAAGTTTAAAGTCCCACTTTAACTTTAACTTTTAAAGTAAAGTTAAAGTGCCACCCCTACCCGCACCCACATCCCAAACTTCGTTAATCCGGATATGACGCAGCATCATGTTTAGAAATGAAATTTGAGCTTCGTCAACGTTCATAACGAAGGTGAGAACTTTCGTTCTTGAAAGATACTACTTTCAATGTTATCAGTGAGAGATACCATTGGCAGACAGTTAGGCACTTCTTCAGTAAACTTTCTAATGTTCGTTCGTTGAATCTACTCAGTCTTTGATTGGGACAAAGTGCAATATCCGATTTTTGCCAACTTAGCGTAGCTTCTAAAGATCTTTATGCGATTTGATACTCCTATTTTTAGAAAAATTCTAGTGTCCATTTCTCTGTTATCGATACCCCAAGTGAATGTTAGACATTCAATATTTGAGTTGGCAAAAACCTATTAGAATGAATGCAATGATGTAATTTCCTGACTTTTATATTGTTAAGCTTCTTCAAGATGTTTCTGACTAATGGGCTCAGTTGTCCTTTATGACGAAAAGGTGTTTTGTCGGATTCATCGGCTTTGTGACAACTTTGAAGGTCTGTCAAATAGTAGGAGAAGAACTTTTCAATCCAAATATACGTATCATTTATCAATCTCTCATTTGTCAGGAAAACAAAGGTTCCATATATCTTTGTGGCATTTAGACGATTCAGTCCGTTGTTATATTCCCAAAGAAAACGAACTAGACTGTTGCGAAAGTATTTTTCACAGAATTTTCGTGTACACTTATTGGGCTTTGGATTCTAAATCATCAGAATCAGCATAAAATACTGTATCAGGACTTATGAGAGGTAGCTTTGGAACTGGATGGATAAAAGAGGATTAGTTTTTCATGAATTTAGTAAAACCTTATCCCTGCTTTATTGAGAAGAAGAGTGCTGTGAGGCATTCGCTTTTCTGAGAATCTGAATAAATTTTGACTTTGTGTCAAAATCAATTCAATTGTGTACGTCATTAGTTTTAAAGCAGTTGTAAACTAACGAACTTTACTTAATGACGTGTTATTGAATTAGGAAAATCTTAAAGCCAATAAGCAGGATTGCCAAGGATCATCTTTTAAATTCTCACGCTTCGCAACTTCAAAAAACCTTACGTATTTTATAAGGGAACGACATTGTCCCTGAGCCTTTACAGTGTATGTTTTCTTGAGACAGGGTATGATCTATTGTCAAAGGATCCCAATTGACCTAAATCAACGCTATCTTGTAAATAAATTATAAAAGAGATTGTTTCTTCTGCATATATTGATTGAAGAGACTTTTAAAAATTAAATAACAAAAGCTTATGTATGATCTCTAGATCAATCACCTCTTATGAACCTGAATTCATATCTTCTAACTAACCTTAATTGATTTCATCTTGTCTATTTGTTGGTGACTTTAGGATTAGTTGATGGTGTGTACAAAAGATTTGAATGGGATTATTGTAAAGTACATCGTGCGATAGATATAATTCTGTTCGATATAACACCAATGCCTTGGAATGCTCCGGATGTTGGTCATCTCAGATTCATCGCTGATGTCAAACGTCCATTAGGTAAGTAAGAGGAAGGAGTGGTCTAAAGTCGAATTGAATAAGAGTTCGCAGAGGCTTCTTGCGATACAACTGGTCAGCAGGTTTTTATACAAAGCACACAAGACTAAGCCAAGGGTTCCCTTAGGAAATCGAAGTTTTCAAAAAAATATCGAAATTGAGTTTGTATCATAGAAAGATGCAGCAAAGCTTCCTCTTTCAGAATATATATAGCTTTTTGGAAAATGACCGTATTTTCAAAGACTTATCTGATGAAACTTTGACCTGAATACCATATTTTCGGAGAACTTTTCGTGGTTTTTAAAGTTTCCTCAGTTTTGAAAAAACTGCGTTGCTATATGAATTATCATTGAATAGATCATTTCTATATTAACCAGGATCTCAGATAGCATGAGCTACCTTCATCTATAAAATAATTTAAAACAGTCCAGTGGAATAAATCACAAATATACAGTTGTAATATGATTTGTTCTAGATTTCAATGAAAAAATCCATTTCTAAAACCTCTTTGCCGTTCTTCTCAAAACAGTTTCTAGGCAGGAACATTGAAATAACTATCACTCGACTTGGGGCATGACCGCTGTTGTTTTGTTTCAAAGGTTTTTATCAGAGCTAACCTTTCATTCGATAGCTTTTCGTTACTGAATTACTGGACTGAGAAAAGTGGGACTTACCGTCGTGAGATCGCGTTTTTTTTGCTTATTTTGAACACCATGTCCATTAAAATGCTCATAAAAAATAAATGGAAGAAAATTTTAAAATTCCGTCCGATGAAAAGTTTCGCACAAAGACTAGCTTTAATTTCAAACCAGCCCAAGCTCTTCATTCCTTATAACGACGGAGTTATTTCGATTCTCCTGAGAGATAGGAAAACAAACCGGAAATTCAGTCTAGTCAGGCATATTAGGCTGAAACTTTAATCACAAGCGCTTCTCACTAGGGCCAATCGTTCCTAAAAATTTCGGACCAAACAGCCCGTTCAAAGTTCGAAATTAATTCTGAGGGGAGCTTAAAAGAGAGTTTGCGCTGGATAAAAACTACAACAAAGTATTTTACTAAGGCCACTTAGAGTCATTCGGCAAGCCATATTTTGTTTTACGTAACGCACTTCCTAGAGAATTTAACGGCCAACGTCGAAATTAATCGTACAATCAGTTCTATTAATCAATCACTCGGGTGTTACATTGTAAACGGTATACAATTAGGTTCCTGCAAAAACATGGATCTGTGTACAGTCTTGAAGTTCATCTCTTCAATCTTCCTCAATCAGAATTGTCCACCAGAATTATTAAAATTAGGTATCGATTGTAAATGCCCATTTCAAATACCTGCTCAGCGCATTAATATTGATCAATTACTGTTTTACGAAGCATCTAAGTATAACGGGTCTATTTTTAACCATCTCCGTTATATTTTCCAGGTGGGGTCATATCGAATGAAAATGGAAATATTTGATGCAAATGGATACGTAGTTTGTGTAGAAATACGTTTCACAGTCTTTCTAGGACCGCCATCATCATATTCGGGGCTAGATCCTTTATTAAATCAACTAAAGCCTTTATGGAATGGGCTAAAGCCTCTATGGAATGGCCTATCATCTACGTTAGGGCGAAAATAAAGCTAAGAAGTTAATAACATGTTCATGGTATTTTTCGAATATTTTTATCCAAAAGTACGTTTTTGATTCAAGCTGTGTGTTTTGTGTCGTGGTTGAGAAATATATGATGGTTTAGAACACAGGAAGTTTATATGAGTGTGAGTGGGTTGGGGCGTGGGTGGGTGTCTGGGTGCGGGTGTGGAGCGTGAGTGTGAGTGTGATTATAGGTGTGGGTGTGAGCGTGGTTGTGGAGGGTGTGGGTGGGTGTGTGGGTGTAGGTGCGTGTGGGTGTGGGTGCGTGTGGGTGTGGGGTGTGGGTGTGTGTGGGTGTGGGTGAGGGTGCGAGTGTGGGTGTGGGTGTGGGTG